ACCCAGGTTATTTATTTATTTATTTGGCAGGTCCTTGCATGTGTTCAAAATTATTATTAAAAATAAAATCAAGCAAAGTCATTACCCATACCGTATTTGTTCTGTTAGAAGCACATTTCCAATAGAAGCACATGTAAACCTAAAATTTCGTTTGTTGTATTCTGGATCATTAAAGTGTGACTTATTTTGACCATGGCAACCTTTCTGTAATTTACAAATGCATATGCGCTACTAACAGAGCTGGTTGTATCTTGTATATCAGTACCAATACACTGACCATTGCATTCTCTCATTTCCTTCTGGTCGTCATTGTTATGTCGTATCTCTTTGGATTGCAGTTCTACCCAGCGATAATTCACGCCGTGGACACAAAGTTACCAACTGCAGTTGTCTATTTCACAGAATATGGTAACTATGAAGAGATATTTGCGTCCGATATCAAACCACTTCCTGCATCAGCAGTAAGTTGTCCAATTGTTTCTATTTTGCATATACGTGCCTAGTGTAATTCTTAGGCATATGGACGCAGTCTGAAAATGGGGACTTATGGATTGATCTCTGTGCGTTCATGTGTCCATGTATGCGTTTGGATCTACATCTTGGACATGCCGAGACCGATTACATTCAAACTTCAGACATACATCATACATAATATTATACATATGCTCATCCATTTGTTTCACGATTCTGAATGAAATTGCACATAAAAGTAGGACAAACACAAAGATACACTTAATAACATATGATGATGGTAAATTTTGATGAAGTAAGGATGTTTCAACACCATATTCCTCTCTCGAAGATAGGCATTTTGACATTGAACTATAAAAAGAGAAAGAAATATGTACATTGTTTTTTTTTTTGCAGGTTGATTCCAATGTACCACCTACTATTGGAGGTAAACCAAGGGTATACGAAAACTTTGAAGGTCCCGTGTCAGGAGTACTTGAATTCCGTCACGGTGGAGGTGGAAACTATCGGAGACAGGATCCTGGGCAGTATGCTCCACAAAACAAAGAACGTCGGCCGCCTACGAAACCACAACAGCAGTATTATCAGCCACCAGGGGCCAGAAAATAAAATATTATGTGGACATAGTGAACTTTTATTTTAGGGTAATAATAGTATGATTCATATCAGTATGCACCACAAGAAATTATGTGATCAGCTGATAATCTGGGAATCCTGTTTTGACAAGACTCACCTATGATTATACCAAGTGCAAAGTCAGCGGAAATGTTCCAATGGAGTCGCGCTAAATGTCTATTGGAATTTATTTCTACATCTATCACAGTACATTTTCTTCGCATGTTTTCAGTCCTCTTAGTAGGCATGATCTTTTTACGGCAATATTCATTGCCTCGTCTGTCCTGAATATTTTGCTGACATTTAAGCAATAAAACATGTACATCCCTTTATCACAGTGTCTCTCCAGTTGTCAATCTGCGAGTTTAGCTTGGTGTCAGAAAGGTAATATCTTCACCCTCATTTTCCAGACTCATTAACAATGTAAGCCGTTCACTGATTTGCTGGATTGGGTAGCCAATCAACGACTGTCTTGTACTTCGACCTTCTTTTGTCAAACCTAATAATGATCTAAGCTTTTGAAGTGACAATAGCTGTGATTTTGAACATTTTTTGTTTAAATAGAAACACATAAAAATGACCAAATCATACAAATGCATAGAAAAAGTGAACGTACATGAGGTTAATATCAAGAGGGAAACATATTTAACATTTTGCCCAGGGCCCTAATAAAGTTGTCATCTTGTATCGTACCCTGAGGTTCGCTTGACAAAACTTGATTTTAATAGATGGCGCCCTCTGGAGACGCAGATGCAACCCCACTGCCATCTTTTCCCACTCGCAATTGATTTAATGTACAACATCAGTAACCTATTTTTTTTTTTCATTTTTTCCAGTGAAAACAATTCTCAAGTAAATAATTACTTTAAACTAAATTGATTGCATTAGTGCCCATTTATTGTCACCTGTAAAATCATTTAACTTGAAATTGTGGTTAGTATTTAAGAAGTGGGAGTTGTTATAACCACTTTCAAATACAACAATTATTTTAATTAAATTATTACCAGCGTGAGTGGATACCAAATTTTATTTTACCTCGCTCATTTCTATGTGAAATTGTGAAGGAATATTGAAGGGCATCTATGTAATCGCCTCCATGAATTTGAAGCTCAAAATTGCTAAACCAAATACTAAAAGGTAAGCACTGAACTTGTACACAAAATGTTTAACATTACAATAACGTACAAGTGATCTACTCGTGAATGCAACACAAGGCTGATAAATATTTGGAATATGCACATTTCGAACAGTATTAATTTGTACTGTTTCTGCTTTCTGTATCAGAGCATATCACTTGTGTTTTCTTGTGTGAAGGGTTTTGCACTGCTATAGATGATGTTGAGAGTCCCACCACCTATAGTACAATCATCAAATAGTAAAGACGTTTCGATAATACATGAATATGAAGACTGTGTGGTGCACTTATGATGTAGACGATGGACCAGGTAGTGGATGACCACTGCTAGAAGATGTTTGGGGAAATTTTTCTGTTAAAATATGTGGGAAATATCCCCTCAAATATTCACAAAAAAATCTTTGATGAGGATCACAGATTGATCTGTCGCCATTATTCATATCCCTGGTAACGGAACCTCAAAAGTACAATGAAGAGCCCACTGACTTGTTTGTCAGGGGAGTGGCACCCACGGGAAGCGAGACTCCACAATACTAAATTATTTCCAGCTGGTGGAGAAAATGCTCTGGTGCAGCGAAAAAGGAATTGATTAAGTAACTCGTCTGATGGTATGGATCAAGAACTGTGTAGCTGATGTGATATCCCAAAGGCACCTGTACTCAAACAACAATTAGCACGCCTGCAAGGGACTGGCAAACAGCCTGTTCACCTTGTGGGGCCACTGATGGTTCTGTTTGCTTTGGTCAGTAAGTTCCAACTCTATATGTGACATACACCATGACCCCAATGCATATGCAAGTGACACAATATCAATATCGTAGGCTAATTTGGATGTGTATGCAGTTCCACCATTCCCACTGATTCATGCAGTACTGGAGAAAGTAGCAGCTGCACATGTCATGATGGCATATTATTACCTTAGTATATAGCTAGACAGACTTTCCCCTGTTGCCTGACCCGCATATGCAACATGTCAGAGCACTGGCTAATTCATTGCGCTTCCAGGCTGGTGCAATTATCATTGAATGATGGGTTATGTTCTTTAATAATGCAAGATTCTTGTGATCACCCAACATTTTCATCACACCCTTATCCATTACCATTAGACATGTCACAGATATCAGCAGGTTCGAACCAGTACCGCCCCACCGGTATCAGGTATTTCAGGATGAACAATAAAACCTCATGATGTATTGATATCCAATTGTAACAATTTATAACAGGGGCCTGGCAGATGCACCGATTCAGCCCACAGTTTTTACTGTATTCTCTATGTTTCAAACACACCGTTGAGGGCAGTATACACAAAATGAAGCAATAAGGTGTGGCAGGTCTAGTCTAGTATTCTGAATGTTTTCAGAGATGGCATCTTGGTAGATTTAAGAATGTGTGTCGCTATATATTCATTACCAGTTACTGGAAGTCTAAAGAAAAGAATATTGGGTACCTGAACTAAAATTATGAACCTCAACTGTATGAATTTCGCCCATTTTTTTTAAATCCAAAATGGCCACCAGCAAATATTAACACTATTGAGTAGTGACAAAGTCATGTCTCCATGGATAACATTGTATTTCTCACTTTTTATCTGACTGAATTTTTCAATATCAAGCATTTGTAGTGTTTTTCAATTTTATGACTTTTTAGGAACCCGTTCGGTATTCATCCTTAAATGTTTTCAAAAATAAGGATGGACGACGGTTTCTGGAGCAAATTTCGTTCGACGTGAATTTGTAAAAGATTTTTCTTTTTTACTGGATAACAATTCCGTGTAAATGATGTGTTTTGCATGTAGTGTATACGTTGCATGGGACCCATATTACCTTCACTAACATTACTATGTACAACGTACATGAACTGTCACTGAAATGCGTGAAATGTACATGGGTTAAATCGGGGAGTGGTCACCTGCGCATGCATGCTAACGTTAGCACCTTCCATGGATGGCTGTAGCGTGTCATTATTTACAAACAAGCGTCTACCCATGAGCCTTTGCGTTTTTAGCGTGCGCAGGTGACTACCCTCCCACTTTAATGTGTGCTGTTGGTGACAGCTCAGTCAAGTGAATACGATCATGGACGAATATACACATAGTCGTTGAATAAAGATTGGTATGTGTTTAGGAGATACGTGTAGAATTAGCCATGCATACAATTTGCGTATCTTACTGGCTCATTTTCAGAAGTTCTTCATCACCAAGAGAAGATTTTGCAATGGCGAGATCTACAGAACTTCCTGTTTGTGATTGCAGGTGGTATCGTGAATTTGACTGATAAGCGAAATGTACTAGTAACCGTTTTTATATATATATATTTCCAACAATTCTAATGAAGAAATGTAGATAGTATATGACATGTATATTTGGCTAAACAAAATGTGCGAAATGTCATCCACATTTTGAAAGGGGAATGAAGGGTGTGGGCAATCCCTAAAATTGAGATTCCCCTTAATTCGTACATTAATATTAAAGAGCGGTAGTCGTCGCGCCACGCATGCGCAAGATATATGGGTCTTATATAAACAAATATGGCGACTTTGACTGTTGCGCAGATTAACGAGTACAAACTGAGACGTTACCAAGCTGTAATTAGGTATTTTTAGGTGATTGGAAGGTATCAAAGGAATCACCGGCTGTAATTAGTGTAAGTCACGCCCAGGTCAAACCTTATACTTGTGATTTACATTAGAAGAGCGCATTGGATTGTGGGAAATTCAACGTTTATCAACACAAACCACCGTCCTTTAAAGTCAATTTAAAGAAATGCGTGTCTTCGCATTATGTTTAGAGTTTAGGTTGATATACTGTATGCCTAACCATGGACCCACGTGACCCATTTACCCAATCTGATTAAAGTACGATGTAGGTATACGTTTCATTTTTTATATTTATTTATTGTCGGATTTTAATCAGATTGTCACTTTCCATATTCCAAGACAAATTAAATTGACCAAATTTTAAATCTCAAATATCATTTTATGGATTTGCAATAATATGTGACATTTATTGACGGCTTGTAAAAATTCTTAAATTGGTTGCGCATTTTTTTCCAAAAATATGTTGTTGTACTATCTGGTTAATATTCAACATGAAAGTTTATTAGATTAATCTGTCTCGTAAATCGTAGTTCGTGATTTGTGTTGCCCTACATATAACTGATCGTTGTGTCGGCGTGTTTCAAAACCTAATTCCCAGATGGAATATCGCGACTTATAAAACGAAGAAGTTTAAAGCGCAACAGACGCCACTCCGCGTCTTGTTTTACATGGGACCCATGCGACGTATATTAACGCGTATAACATGCATTGTTTGTCGATTATACCGCTTCAGCAGGGGCTCAACTTATGGAAAAATACGCTTTTTAAATTGATTGGTAGTACTCGACCCTCAGGTAATCAGAGGCGGCGGCACGACATTGTGCATGAGGCGAGATTTGCTCACCGTCCCTTGCGCCCCATAGGAGCACAATGGTCGCGCAATTTTTTTTTTTTGGGGGGGGGGACAATCCAAAAAATGGCGAAGGTTTACTCTATGCGTGAACGCCCACCTGTCCACATTCCAGCCTGGTTGACTTTTATGACAACTAAATCTGATTTAAAGTTTGTAGTTTGGCAAGTAAATCTATATATCATAATTTGTTTGTTTGAACCCAAATGCAATATATAGTCTAATAATTTAAACAATTTGACAGCTCAACTAAAGAGCCATGAATCAGTATGTATTTCATTGGCAAACTGGTACAAGAACCGTTCTTGTTAAGAGACTGTGGTACACGTAATCAACTCAAGCTCCACGGCTTGCGTTCTTTGTTTATATGCTGCTAAATCTACCTCTGTGCATACGGGGCACCATGGCAAGTGAAATAGACTATTTCGAACCAATACACGTCATAGATTATATTGTCATTGCCGTCTTGCTGTTAAGCGTGGTTGTACTAGGATTATGGGTAAGAACTTGAATTTTATTTTGATAAACCGTTTAATGTAGACGGTTTATATTATATACCAAATGGGCATCGGGTCAACAGTATTTATAGAATAAACCCCGAAGACGGCCGAACGTTTCCGCAGAGTATTGTGTGACTTCGGTTTCTTCAAGGCACCCTATCACACGCGGGATTTCTAATAGGGTGTCAAACAATGTGATTTTTTTTCGCTCTGTGACTTGTTTCCCCC